TTTTTTGAAAAGTATCTGCCATTAATAAAATTGATTATTATGACCCTTGATGATAATCTGATGTTTTTTCTTCAAAAACCTAACCTCAGAATTATTAGTTCTAACCTAAAAGCGTTAAACGAAATTTACATTGGAAAAAAGTTTTTTTACATGCCAAATGTACGAAATAGATTCAATGGAACCCATGTTCTTTCTACCCAAACCATGAATTTGAATCTAAAAAATCTAACCTCAAAACCAACATTAACTAAGTTTAAACTCGCTAAATTAAGGATTAATAAAAAAAAATGAAAAATATCTTTATTGTACGGAGATTCAATCAACAATTTTTTCCGAGAGCACACACCTTGTGTCATACTGTACCCAAATGTGACACCTTAACCCAAGAATCTAACCTCAAAACTGGAAAGATTGTCAAATCAAATCAGTGAGAAAAATCATAGAGTGAAAAAATTTGTCACAATTATTTTCTTTAATAAAATGTATAAGTGTATTTTGGTTGAGTGTTCATCATCGCAATCGCCAAAACGTTTAGTCAAAACTGAAAACATAACCTAAAGACCCTGAAATTTTGTTTAACTCGAATTTTTTGCTAGAAAAATTCCATAAAAACATCTACATGGCAATAAAACGTTTGTAAAACATTATTGTGGCTTATTATTACTAAGCATTTATTAAATTTGCAATGGAGCCTGATAGACTAACCTAACCTCAAATTCAGGAGTTAGGAGAATCAAATATTATCTAAATCTAATACATTTATACTTTTTATTAAAGAAAATAATTGTGACAAATTTTTTCACTCTATGATTTTTCTCACTGATTTGATTTGACAATCTTTCCAGTTTTGAGGTTAGATTCTTGGGTTAAGGTGTCACATTTGGGTACAGTATGACACAAGGTGTGTGCTCTCGGAAAAAATTGTTGATTGAATCTCCGTACAATAAAGATATTTTTCATTTTTTTTTATTAATCCTTAATTTAGCGAGTTTAAACTTAGTTAATGTTGGTTTTGAGGTTAGATTTTTTAGATTCAAATTCATGGTTTGGGTAGAAAGAACATGGGTTCCATTGAATCTATTTCGTACATTTGGCATGTAAAAAAACTTTTTTCCAATGTAAATTTCGTTTAACGCTTTTAGGTTAGAATTAATAATTTTGAGGTTAGGTTTTTGAAGAAAAAACATCAGATATATCATCAAGGGTCATAATAATCAATTTTATTAATAGCAGATACTTTTTAAACATTTTTTTCTACAATTGAACATCGAGTATTTAAAAATTGTTTCTTCGACATTGAGGTTGAGGCGCTCCCTAAGCATTAAAAATAAATGTTTTTTCGAAAACACCTCACCGGAATATGAAAATTCAGATTACCACGAGATTATTAAAAAAAAATCACGAGACGATGAAAATTGGCGAGTGGCGAGAATTTTGTCCAATATTTCCCACTGTGCGACGTGTGAACACATTATTTGGTTTTATCCAGTTTCTACGAACTAACACAACGGTTGTCTTTCTTCACTATAACACAAATGCTTCATCATAACACAAACGTGGTCTTGCTTCACCATGAATTGAAAGGATATCCGTCTACTCCGAGTCACTATTCGCGTAAGCCATTTTTAACACTTGAAAAAACTAATGTAAACACTATCGCAAAAAGTTAATACTAAAATCGGATTTCAGTATTCGGCTTAATTTTATTTTCTCTTATAATATGCACAGTAAATATTTTACATGCATTTTATAAAGGCCATTTAGCGATATAATAAAAATAACAGTCAAAAAAGAATAAAACTTAATGAATTGTTTTTTTTTTATTTTTTTCTTGCATACGCTTTATAAATATAATATTTCATAACAATAAATTAAAATTGTCCATAAAATACATAAGATACTGAGAGGAAACTACGGTTCGTTTTTTACAACAACATTTTCATATTCCAAGAGTCCGAGCCTGCTCCAAAAGTCGACAGGAGTCAAATTTTCAGTCTTGTACATCTTCATGTCTTCTGGTCCATTGACAACCAAGAAAGTCAGCTCTTCAGATCCCGTTGGTTGCCAAATGTCTGTCCCGTCGAAAGAAGGTATGCTAAAAAATGAAAATTTTATTTATTTACTTACTATTAATCCGACAGGAACAAATTCAATTAGAGGGCGTTAGCAGAAATAATTGGTATAAGTAATATATTAAATTAAAATATTGAAACGTACAATATCTAGAACAAAGTAAGTACACTAATGCAAAGAAATGAGTAAAAATACACAGTTAAATATTAAACAATCAACAACTCGAGAGAACAGTATAGTCAAAGAGATGGAAATATAGATTTTAACGTCGTTGTCATACGAAAGCCTCTCACAATTTATAGTACGATCGTATTCGATGCAAAGTAATAAATCATTGCCTGTCAAGGGAATCAGTGCAACACATTTTATAGGGGGTTTTGGAAATTGAATAATTTCTTTATGCATTATGGATTAACAGTTATATATTTATGAAGGACAAAATGAAAAACAAAGGCATCTCCTTCGCACATTGGGCGGCAGGACAACAATACATTTATTACTCCCTTCATTATCCCTCATATGACTTGTGTCTTGTGTTTTTTGCGGCGGCGCGCGTGCCGGCCTGGCGTGGTCAGTTTCGTTTCGGTTGTATTGGTGCTGCGTGTTTCTCGCTCGCGATATTTGTGAGGTTATAACTGTTATAAGTGCAATTATATTTCTTTCGGGCTATATGTGTGTTTCGCGCTATTATTTGAGAATTTGTGAGTGAAATCATATTTCTTGTGCTCCGTAACAAAAGTGTTTTTAGTGTTTTATTTGTGTGCTGTGTGTGTGTTTCGGGCTGTTGTTTGTGAATCGTGAATGCTATTATATTTTCTGTGCTAGTGAAGTGAAGTTTTTTGTATTATTATTGCTCTGTTGTCGTTATATGGATAAATGGAGGCGGTGCCTGGATGTTCGCGAGCCGGATGTACTGCTGTGGGTACAAAAAAATCTATATTAAGTTACAGAGAAAAAACGATAATATTAAATGTCTATAACCCTTTAGAAAAGGATCATCCCATGAAACTGAAGACTGGTTTGGTGGAAATGTGTTCTAGATATACTGGAGTAAGCGAATTATCTGTTTTCAAAATTTTAAGAGAGAAGAAAATTGAAGGAGACGTTAAGAAACCTAAAAAAGGGGGTGCAAAGAAGAAATTAATATTAAATGAAGATGAGAAAAATGCAGTTTGGCGTACAGTACATAAATCATAGAATTTATATTTTGTTTATAATTTGTTAACATTTCTTGTTTGATAGAAAAATAACTTATTTTGTTGAGATTGGTAGAGAATTGTTGTTAGTGTTTTCATTTGATAGAATCATATCATAGGATTTATATTTTGTTTTCATTCTGTAAATATTTATAGTATATCTGTTATACAAGGTTTTTGCTTTGAAACTTCGTTCTCCTTATAAAAAAAAGAATCGTAATGGGGTGCGATGAAGAGATCAGTTCACGTCTGGAACCCTGTTCCTACAAAAATCCCTTTATTCTCATAAACTATTTGTTTTAAATGTAATTTATTATAAATCCAATTCGTTATTTAAATTCCACATATGTACTACATTTCACCTCTGTACGCGCCACTGTTTATTGTTCCCTGCTCTACGATCAAGCTCGCCAGGTTAGTATTTGACGTATAACCGACCACTTCGTACACTCGATGCACCTGGCCGACTACAGCTAGTACCAGAACACAGTGCGTATGCGGCGGTATTTCAGATTTTACATTCAATTTCATTTTAAATTTGAAACGGTTCATCTAACGCCTCCTAAAAATGATGACACGATTTTCCTTTGATAAAAGACCGACAATTTTTTGCTCTACTTTGCATCGAATACGATCGTACGATAGAATACTGCCAAGGTTGTACAGTAAAATCTCGGAAACTTTAGGGAAATTATTTAACACGATAATAATGAAGGAAACAAGTCATTCAAGAATTATTGAATTATGAAGTATTTACCCGCTGGTGGCGTACGAGTACAACACGTTATGACAAGCAGTAATCAAGCGTTTATCCTGTTCTGAGAACGGATATGTACGCAACATCCCATAGAAGTAGACTGCGTCCTCACCATGTGAAACACCTGTACCTGTGAACAGAATTGGATGAACAGAATTGGATGGAAGATTTTGTTTTGTTCGCAATTTTTATTAGTTAAAGCTTAATCTGGTTACACGTTACTAGTTGTTTAGTGGGGATTTGCGCTCACTTCGAGGTCATACGAGCCATCATTGATATCCAGTAGCCATGGCGACGATGTCCAGCAAGGTCAGAGAAAAAAGTTCTTGGAAGTCATTGACCCACCCCGCTGTCGTCGTTGTTTCCGTACCACCCCTGGTCATTGCCGATGGCGACCACCTTCAAGAATCTCTTCCGCTGACCTTCCTTGACAGCTGGACACCTGGTTCCAGCTCCTGATGCTTTGACCTTGAATTGAATCCAGATCTTCACTAAACAAATGCTTATATTAACAGTTCACTTTTTACCTTCTTCTAAACGTTCGGGATATAAGTCATCCATTGTATTTTCACCCTGAGTGTAGTTAAATATGTAAAAATATACAGGAGATTTGTTTACATTGGCTTGCATCTTAGCTGACAGTTCTGCACCGGTAGCAAAATACCTGTCCGAGACAATCTGAAAGGAAATAATTTCGCCGAATTTAAAGAAGATGAACTTTGCTTTTCTGATAGAAAAAGTGTACCTGCGTAAATTTTTTGAAGTTCTTCTTATTGATCTCTTCTCCTGGTCCCAAATAGTAGTCCAAAAGTTCCTTCGGCACTGTCTCCATTTGTGATGCATCTAGACTGTCACTCAAATCCAGCAGATCGAGAAATGCTTCTGACCACTTCTCGTTTATCTCTTCCAAGCTTGGCGTTAAATCTGAAAAATTAGGTATTTTGATTTATCTTTGGCAATTTTGCGCGATTAAATCATCATGTAATGTAAAAGATAAACCTTCATCGTATCATCCTACTTACATCCCGTGACAACCAGTCCCTCACCAGTAACAACGGAAGTAATCCAAGGCACATCAAGAACTTTACCTTCCTTCAAGAGCTGGTAAGGTTCTGCGTCTAAGAAAGCGTTTGGTGATGCTTTTTCCACAATCGGACTAAAAGGCGTTAGTGGCGCCACCTTGGCGTAAGTAAGGAAATGTTGCATTTGATTTGTCACCGTTCGCGCTGGTATCTCTTTGAGACAGCTCTTCAGTTCTTCCGAGGAAGTGTCAGGACAGCCCAGTAAACCGCCGAGCTTCTTGGCACGTTTCAAGGCGTGCTGGGGCGTCCTGATCACGAACGGTGTTAGAACCGAGCCACTCTGCGAAATCCCCTTGACGAATAAACCTTTAGAGAGTGGAGAGAAATAGTGGAGGTGGACGCTGATTGCGCCCGCTGATATACCGACTACGGTGACGGTGTCGGGGTTTCCCCCGAACGAAGCGATATTGTCCCTGACCCACTTGAGTGCCAAGACTTGGTCTTTCATTCCGTAGTTGCCGGGTATGACATCGTCTTCCGTGCTTAGAAATCCTGGAACGTTAAGGCTGTTGGAATCATGACAAAGACTGAAGGAAGCATTTACCTAGAATACCAAGACGGTAATTGAAAGATACAAGCACAGCGTCTTTCTCTAGTAACGTATTAAAAGTGATAAGTCCACTGCCCGCCATAAAAGCACCTCCATGGATTGAAACTATCACATTGAGTACTTTCGGGTTCTTCACGGAATCTTCAGGGACGTACACGTTCATGTAGAGACAATCTTCGTCTCCTGATAAAAAATAAAACAATTTAGTTGCAATATTAATCTTGATTCTAGCAAGTTATGTACGTAGTGCTCTTTATACTGACCAAATATTGAGTCATCTGCACCTGAACGAAACGTAGCTTGAATGCACGTGTGAACAGTGTTTGCTTCCAAGGTTTCTGACCAAGCCTCTATGGGTTCAGGTTCCTGTAAATTAGTAAAAATAAAGATTACTGTAAATGAGTGGGGCATCCAGTAAGAATTTGGGAAAATGTGCGCACGCATTATTACTATCTCGTAAACTAAAAATTAACTCTTCATATCTCAGGAACCAAAAGAACTATTTAAGTTCTGTAAAAAATATTGTGTAGTGAATAATAATTTCTTTAAAATTAACATGTACTTCTCATTTTTTCGTATATATGTGCTTTTTAAAATTGTAGTAAAAATAATTTGTGATGGAAAATGTGTTAATAATCTTTTTTATTTTTTCTATCGCATGACACTGTTATTTTAAATGGCTGGAATGGGCGCAAACGAACCATTCTTCAGATTTAGGCTCATATTATTTCTTCTACTTAAAAAGATCAACATGTCAGACAAAATTGGGAACTGATTTAAAGATTTAATTTAAAAAATTTACTGATTCTTTTATTACCATCAATGTTCAAATATGTGTATCATATTGTCCTTAAAGATGAAAATATTTTGACTTACCTCGAACCTCAGATTGCCCACTGGTGGTTTTGCGTACGGGATTCCCTCAAAAGCAGCATAAGTTATGTTATCTAATGTCTTCCAATATCCCCGAACTCTGCCCAAAGGCGTGTCTATCTCTGGCAGATCATCTTGGCTTAAACAAACTAGCATCGAGTTAAATTTAAATATATAAATTAAATTGTCTTTTTTGACTGATGATAATTTACACTACGAATACCAATACATACTTAAAAGCGGGGCATTAGCATTTTTTTTAATATGAACAATATCCATCACTGTTATCCTTGAACTACTAACTATCAATTTATCACAATTTCTGTTTCCCAATTAGTTGCGATTATATTACAGCTACTTGTATTAATTTAATTATGAATAAGTATTTTTTCTCAAATAAATTTTACAGCGAGATATAAAAATAAATAAAAAATGTATTCTTTCAGAAAATGCTACTTTATCTACAGGGTGTCCTAAAAATAAATGCCGACACGTTAATCATGCATTTAAGTCATCAAGAGCAACTACTTTTATCTGTTTGATATAATGTAGTTTTTTAAAGTTTAAATTTTTGTTACACACAACTATACCATATGATGAAACTCCACCGCTAGATGGCGCTTTATCTAGTACTCAAAATTTGTTTTGTTCATAACATTTTTCCCTTGTTAGACATTCAGAAATTTAAATAATGTTGAAAATAAAAACATTATAAGAAAAAATTATGTACTCTTTATTGAAACCGATAAATGCAATATTTAGCTCGGACCTCTTTGTCACAAGTTTTCACTAGCATAATATTTTCACCTTTCAAAACTCGACAACCGTCATGCAGGCCAGATTTTTTACAGACAACCCTATACCATCGTCTTCGCAATTAAATAGCGTACTTTGCGTACTTTGTACTGCGTATTTTGATATAAGATTTATTTATTAAACAAATAGATGAAAATATCTAGTATCAATTTACCTGTTTATACCTGCCAACCCAGTAGTTACGCCAGGAAAAAAATAGACATCCCAACAAGTATATCCTATAGGCTTCATACTTTCGGCTGGTATTTAATTTATTCGTTAAACTCACGAGTCATTTTTCAATTTTTAATTAATCGTACTCTGGCCAGAAATTTTTTAGCCAACCCACTCGAGATATATATTTTGATATTTTAAATTTTATAGAAAATACTTTTCATCCATTAAACAGATGGGTGGTCGTTTCTAGTGCGGATCATCTACTAGTATAACAGATTTTCAATACTATTTTATCGTAACAATTATTCGCAATGACCCCCATTCGCTTCAATACATTTTCTGATACGTGAAACAATATCGTTTTTTTTTTTTAATAATTTTATGTAAAGCGAACTGTTTTGCAAATTATTTTTGTTTTAGTCACTCCCATGGTGATCATTGTTTTAAAAATATACTTGATTGTTAAAAAATATATAAATAAATGCAGAAAAATAAATAAATGTAGTTACTTACAGCTGTTCCCAAACGAGAGAACAAACAACAGACAACCCAATTTAGACAACATTTCGAGATGGACTATCCTTAGATACAAATCTGACAGATATATACTTACCACTTATCTTGTTTATCACAGTCACGAGGGTAGAACTGGTATGATCGGAATGAAATAGTGAAGATGAACGCTAGCTAAGACTTGATCTATCATGCCACTGTTGCCAGGTGTGACGGTGTCTTCCATGTTAAAGATTCCTGGAATGTTAACGCTGATTAAAGGATTGACATTTGGAAACTAAAGGCAATAACTTAGACCAATAAAAAAATATTGAATTTCAATAATGACACTGAATTTCTGAGCTTTGAACTATTTCGAAAGAGATATAATAAGAGTATCAACTTAAATCGTGCTCCGTGATGACCAAATATTCATTTTAGAGATTAAGGAATGGAAAAATCATAAACGCTCTGATCACTTCTGAACGGACGCCATCTGTCGGTTTTAGGTCTATTCAAATACAGGGTATCCCAACGAAAATTTGACCCCCCCCTTTAATTGGAAAACCGAATAATATTTCAAAATTCGCCGAGACCCGTCGATTTTTGTTCTTGGGGGGAGCTTTTTTGACAGTCAAGCCAACTCGATATGTTCATCCCCCTAATGCCTAGCAACCCCAACTTAAAAATTTCAAATGCAACTACCCCACTTGTGGCACATCATTTTAAAGCCCTTTTCATTGCGAATACAGTGACGTACCGTTTTTAGAAATCGGTTGAGATTTGACAGAATTATTGGTTACAAACGAAAAGATGACAAACCAACTTACGCGTAGTAATTTCTACACAAATGCCCACCACTAATAAGTTTTTCATCTACTACACATGACCGCATTACCTAATTGTTATTGATGTGTCTATCAGTTTACAAAAAAGTCAGAAATGAAATAAA